ATTTTTTTTTTCGGTTGAAATTTTTTTAAGTACCAAAAAAATGATATTTTTGATTATCGAAAATAATTCGGATTATCAACAGGGGCGTAACCACCGCCGTATCAGCCGTATCAAAAATACGAGGCTCCCGAGCCAAGGGGGCCCCCAACGGGCGCAAGCAGAAAGCAAAACTACAATTTTTCAAAAATTTAATAATTTTAACGTAGTTTGCATTTCCTTTTTTTATCGAGAGGTATTAAACTTCAATTTGTAAGCTAACGCTTTAAGAGGATTTATTTCTGCTGCAATATTTCTGCAAGCTCTTGCAGTCAATTCAATTAGTAAAGCTGTTCCACATTTGATAAGTTAACAAATCTATAAAACTAATTCAGATTATATATTCTTCATCAAATATTGGAATTTGAAATTTTTATATTCATATTTATATCGTTGTTTGTTTGTTGTTTGACGCGTCAGTTTAATAGTTAGATTTTGATAAAAATGATCAACTAAATCATTTTCAGATTTCTTTCTTCACTGTTCAAAAATATAAGTTTCTATTCTGAAACTTTACAACACGCCAGTAATGACTTACAAAAAACTAGTATTTTATTAAGTAATCTTTTGAATAGACTGTGCGAATTAAGATATGAAGAATTATTGAAATAGTTTGTTGAAGAAGTACAAATAATTTGCAAAAAGAAGGATTGCAATAACTATTTTAAAGAACAAAATACAAAAGATAATGAAGCGTCATTATCATAAGATGAGAGAATTTTAGACGCGAAATCTTATTTTAATGTATAATATTGCTGTTTGGATATATTAATTTCACAAACCAAACAAAGATTTGAAAACCTTTGCGACTTAAGTAGTAACATTTGTCTTTTTGAAATTGAGAATTAATAAACGTTTCCGGAAAACTTTTGACTGAATTACTGTAAAGAAATATTGCAAAATATCTCATATGATCATGGCCAATTGATAGTTCTAGAAATAGGTTTGAATACAGAAATCTAAGAAATTTATTTCATTAAGGTACAATGATGGATGCAATGGGCTTGCATCCAGTTTTCCCAACGAAATAACAGTATACATTTTTTCTTGTCCCTTAATTACAACAATTACAATAAATTAAATTAAAACTAATTGAAAATTACGTAAATACTTTAGAACATATATGTCTACTAGACCTGTATGTTTCTAGAGACAGAAACTTTATAAAATTTAAGGATCACTAAATAAGTAAGTTTTTCAAAAAAACCTAAGGAGAGTCAAAATATATCTGAAATCATTTGTGAAAAATTCAGAAAATTAGAGAAAATCAGATAGATAAATAATTAGGATGATAAATAAATATTCTTTTAATATTATGTATTTCTATATTTTGTGAAAAAAAATTTTTCTTCTTGAGGGGCCCCCTCAACAAATTTTGACACGGGGCCCCGCCAAAGCACGCTACGCCCCTGATTATCAAAATTTTAATTTGGTACGGGAAGTTGCAGCAATTTGAATCCACCAGTTGAAATCTGTTTAGGATTTTGCTCAAAAAATTTTGCTCTATTCTACTAATTGATCAGTATAAATTGGCATTAATGGATCAAAAATTGTAATTTATTTTGTTTGAAATATTACAAATGAGTACTGTTTAATAAGAAAGATGCAATTTAATAAAATTTGTAAAAATATCTGTAAATCATACACAAAATATAAAGAAAATATTTATATAAATTTAATCATAGTACTAAATATTTGAACAGTAGTAATAAAATTTACAATGCAAATAAAGTAAAGTAATTCATAGATATTTCACACGCAGGGTTAGTTTCTGCTTGTTAACTTCCCGTAGGGTAAGTTATTGTAATGGGCCGAAAATCGGAATTGAAATTTTTACATTTCTCCACGTTTTGAAGGTTTCTGAACATTTTACTGGCATACCTCAGAAAAAATGGATGTGTGTGTGTGTGTATGTATGTGTGGATACAAATTTCCAGTCACGTTTTAGGGCGCAGGAATCAACCGATTTGAATGGTTCAAAAAACATTCGATTCCTATTGAATTTTTTTCTATGTTAAAATGTGCATTAATGCATTAATTTATGTTATGTTTATTATAAGATATTGCTGTTATTGAGAAAATTTTGTAAATTTGATGACTTTAAATAATTTGCTCTTTCCCGCCACTTTAAATAATAAATCTGACGTTTCGCGGTACATCCTCGAACAAAAAGATTCAAGCCCTCACTGCTTTGATGAGGCTTTTGTTTGGATTTATTCGCGTTCGTTCGAGTTCGTGTTCGTTCTTCTTTGTATTTTCTTGTTCGACATGTTCGTTCGTTAGGTGTGGCGCACCTTTACGCACACTCTCGCACACTAAACTCACGCATCACGCTATCCCTTCCAATGCTAATTGAAAGTGGAGGGGACACAGCCGGCGTGCACAAAGTCTCCGAATTAAATTCAGAAGCCAAAACAACCGCGAAACAGATAACACGTGTGTAGTAAAATAAATAAATAATAGTAAAATAATTAAATAGTTAGTTAAAGTGGTGGTTAATACATTTATATTTTTATACCCTTGTGTGGTGGTTTTGGTGGGTTACAAAAAAAAACTAACCTCAAAAAAATGCCTAAGGATACTTGCAGGAATAAATTCAAAAAAAGACTCGTGCGTAAAATCAGTGTGCACTTTAAAGTGAAATAAATAATAACACTAAACAACCCTTACAAAGTGACTTTTATCATTGTGACTATTATCATGGCGGTGCCCTTCTATGTCCCAAATAACGAAAGTGGTTTCAACACCACGACACCAATCGTGAAAATAATCACAATCAAAACCACCACCATCAATCAAGGACAAATAGTGCTAATAATTCTGTTGGTGGTGCAGGGGTTGCACCACAAGTTGGTGGTGCTAACCACCAGGATCCACTTTTGGGTGCTTTGGCCGAGGCTTTGTACCAGTTTTTGTTGGCCAGGCAGAATCATGGTAGTAGATTTTTTGGTGGTTCTTTTAGTGATCGAAGTAGATTTTTTGGTGGTGACCGATTTGTAGGAATGCATCAACCACCAGATGATGACCAATTTTTAGAAATGTATCAAACACCAGATGATGGTAGATTTTTTGGTGGTGACCGATTTTTAGGAGTGTATCAACCCAGATGATGATAGGTTTTCTCTGGTGGTACTTTTTTTAGTGATCAAAGTAGGTTTTTTGATGGTACTTTTATCTTTGATGGTACTTTTACTTTTGATGATACTTTTACCTTTGGTGGTACTTTTACCTTTGATGATACTTTTACCTTTGGTGGTACTTTTATTTTGGTGGTTTGCAAGATTTGTGGTTCCTTTCAGGTTTTTTTTGGAACCCTTATTTAGTGCAAAGTTTGATGAGAATAATAATGAGATTTTTTACTGATTGTGAGAGATTTTTAGTAGAAAGCATGGAGTTTGGGGACGATTTAGACTTAGAGAGTATTAGTGATAGTGATGATGAAATCACAATGATAGCTGTTAACTAAATTTGCCTAATTTTTTTGTACAAATTTAAACCAAAACTTCTACTTTTAATTTTTTAATTTTCTGCAGAATTTGATTTTTGATCACATTTAGTGATAGTGATACAAATCACTATTTTTGACAAAATTGTTAATTTTAGTGATAGTGACAATTGAAAATTTAATTATTCTTATTTTACAAATTTCTGTAGAATTTAAAAAAGCATTGTGATAGTGATGAAAATCACAATTTTTGACAAAATTAATTTGTGTAAGTTATAGATACAATTGGCTTGTCAGTAGAGTCCCATTTTAATTTTAATTTCTAGAATTAGAAAGCAGAATTGCTCGTCAGTAGAGGTTCTTTTTCTATTTTAATTTCTAGATTTATTCTGCTTATCAGTAGAATTCTTTTTCTTGATTTTAATAATTAGATTCAGTTTGCTCGTCAGTAGAGTCCTTTCTTGTGAAAATCCTAAATTTATTTTACTCGTTAATAGAGTCCTTTTTTGTGAAAATTCTAAATTTATTTTACTCGTTAGTAGAGTCTTTTTTTGTAAATTAGAGATTTAAGTTGCTAGTCAGTAGAGTCCTTTTTGTGTAAATTCTAAATTTATTTTGCTCGTTAATAGAGTCCTTTCTTGTGAAAATCCTAAATTTATTTTACTCGTCAGTAGAGTTCTTTTTTGTGAAAATTCTAAATTTATTTTACTCGTTAGTAGAGTCCTTTTTTTGTAAATTAGAGATTTAAGTTGCTAGTCAGTAGAGTTCTTTCTTGTGTAAATTCTAAATTTATTTTGCTCGTTAATAGAGTCCTTTCTTGTGAAAATCCTAAATTTATTTTACTCGTTAATAGAGTCCTTTTTTGTGAAAATTCTAAATTTATTTTACTCGTTAGTAGAGTCCTTTTTTTTGTAAATTAGAGATTTAAGTTGCTAGTCAGTAGAGTCCTTTTTGTGTAAATTCTAAATTTATTTTGCTCGTTAATAGAGTCCTTTCTTGTGAAAATCCTAAATTTATTTTACTCGTTAATAGAGTCCTTTTTTGTGAAAATTCTAAATTTATTTTACTCGTTAGTAGAGTCCTTTTTTTTGTATTAGAGATTTAAGTTGCTAGTCAGTAGAGTCCTTTTTGTGTAAATTCTAAATTTATTTACTCGTTAGTATAGCCCATATCAATAACAACATTGCCTTTGGCAGAATTACTGGGTGTTTTGGGTCGTAGGGTATGTCGGCATTCTCCAATCTCCCACCCACTCGAAGTAAGTCTTCAGCATGCACGAAAGGATTTAAAGCTTTCAGCTTACCAAGAGATGCATTGGATTGCTTACCTAACTTCAACTGTTCACCTATATTACAAAACATCCTCTGAACCATATAAAAGATACGCTTCGTCGCTGTGTTTAATTCAGCGACCGAAAGTAAACCTCTTTGTTTGAGACGAATGATGTTGATCCATCGGATGCAGAACGCCACCACCCTAACTAGTTTGCTGAACCGAGAACACTTAGCCACAAGATCTTCTAGCAATTCATTCTAGTGTTGCCGACAGTTGTTGCTAGCAGTTTCCGTTCTGGAATAGCTTCCTTAACATCATCAGCAAACCTGTTAGGCCAATTACTAGAATCTTGTAGCAGACAAGCAGGCCCGTGCCACCATAGATTGCAGTCTGCTAACTCTAATGGCGTCTTCACACCCCTAGATACAATGTCTGCAGCATTTTCTTTACTACAGACGTGTCTCCAAGCAATGCCTGGCGTAATATCAAGAATTTCCGCCACTCTATTGCTAACAAACATTTTCAATAGAGACGGATCTGTCTTTAACCACGCCAAGACAATGCTTGAGTCACACCATAGAAACGACTCCGAAATTGGGATTTTTGTGATCGTCATCATCTGCCTAAATAACTTTGCTAAGAGCAAAGCCGCAGATAATTCTAGCCGAGGCAACGTCACATTTTTTAATGGGGCTACTTTCGATTTTGAACAAAGTAACCTTGATGACAAAGTGCCATCTGCGTATGTTGCCCGTAGATAAATGCAGGCACCATATGCATACAATGAAGCGTCTGAGAATCCGTGACATTGAATAGTCACCGGAATCGACTTAAAAATGTTTCGAGGAATACTGAGATTCTCTAGATCAGAGAGATGAACCTCAAAAAGATTCCACCTATCTTGTAACTCTCGTGACAAAGTCTCATCCCAACCAAGGTTTTGCCTCCACAACTCCTGCATTATCAACTTTGCAGTTACAGATATTGGAGATATGAGCCCAATTGGGTCATAAATCTGTGCAATTGTTGATAATACGGATCGTTTTGTGTCAACACCCTGTCTAATGTCTGCTTCTGAAACCTTAATATGTGCTATTTTAAAAATATCCTGTGAAGGATTCCACGCAAGCCCTAAGGTTTTAACAGTATCTGCTTCAGAAAACAAGGCCATAGCAGAGCTTTGACTTTCCTTTGGGATAGTTTGTAAAACTTCACGACAGTTACTTGACCATTTATGTAAGGAGAACCCCCCTTCATCTAACAACTGTACAACTTCCCTTTGAATCTTAACCAACTCATCCGCAGTATCAGCACCTGTGATGATATCATCAACATAGCAGTCCGTATCTAACACTTGTGCTGCCTGTGAAAATGTTGACGCATAATTTTGCGCCAGCATCTTCAAACAGCGCATTGCCAGGTACGGAGCACTAGCTGTGCCATATGTTACCGTGGTGAGTTTGAAGATCTTCAAGGTTTCCTGGGGCGACTCCCTCCATAAGATCAACTGATATAACTGATCTGTATCCTTAACCTTTATTTGGCGATACATTTTCACAATGTCTGCCACAAAAACAAACTGATGGCACCTAAATCGAACCAAGATAGAAACAAATCCTGCTGCAATTTAGGGCCGGTGTGAAGAATATTATTCAACGAGACACCAGAGGAAGATTTCGCCGAAGCATCAAAAACTACTCGAATCTTATTGAAGTTATTATCCTTCACAACAGGGTGATGCGACAAGAAATATAAATTATTTTGAATCACTTCCTCCTGAGTAAGTGAGATCTGCTCAGCGTGTCCTAGTTCAACGTATTCATTCACAACCGTGAATATGCTGCAAACAAGATACTATCCTTAGAAAACGCCTCTCTAAGTTCAAAAACCTGTGTTTTGCACCTAAATACGATGATCCTAGTTTATCCATTTTGCCATCTACAAAAGGAGAGCTACTTCAAACTGACCATTTTCAAGCCGTGAAACATTAGAGAGAAAATGATCCTCACATAACTTGTCAGACCCGGTCATTGTATAGTTAGAGGATACCTCCTCCAACTGCCAAAACCTGGTCAGACTGTTATGCAGATCTTCATTAGAAATAAATCCAACATGCACATTTTCCTGAGTTTTTGAAGTATATACCCCTGAGATCAGCCAACCAAAGCAGCTCTTTCTTAGAATAGGTAGGTGGTTCCCTAAACGAATGCAACCTTGCTGTAGCACTTCGAAATATAACTCCACCCCTATCAACATGTCAACTGACCCTGGAACATTAAACATTGGGTCCGCTAAATCAACATGATCTGGAATCTTCCAGTTATCAAAATCTATAAACGCAGAAGGCAGAGACTGGGTGATCCTGTCAACAGCTACAAAATTCATAGTACGAGCAAAGGACCCTAATCTAGATCTTATTGTCAACTTAACAGCCTTGTCACACAAACAGTCTGCCCCTGTAACATGCTCAATTTATGCAGAGATGAATTAACCGGGCATTTCAATTTTGCTAACAACGAGGAAGTTATTAAGTTGATTTGTGACCCACTGTCCAACAACGCTCGCACCTTATGTTGGGTTCCGTCGGTGTCCATAACAATGAGAGAAACCGTAGATAATAATGTTTGCATCCCCGTATTATTTGCCATGCATACTGTGCTACTTGAAGTGCTGGGCATTGGCTCCGGTTCTTCATGTAGCAAAGTATTATGCGACTCTTTGCACTTCGAACAATCATATCTAAATTTACATTTAGCCACATTATGTCGAGAAGCCAAACAACGAGAGCAAATCGAATTTTTTATTAATAAAAAACTTACGTGCCTTTACATCCAGTGCCTTAAAAGTAGAGCATTTATACAGCACATGGTCCTCATTCTTGCAATAACTACACAGTTGTGTAGGTTTCTTAACAATTGTATGAACAGACTTGGTGGTTGGTTTGCTGTCTGAGCTGCACGAATTCTCCAAGGCCGTTACCCGGAGTTCAAGAAATGTGAAGAACTCCACTAAAGAAGGTAACTGCCCTGACGCCCGAGACAGATTCCAAGCCACTTTTGTCCCACTGTCAAGCTTCCTACACAACATATGTAATAAGATAATGTCCCAATGTGCTGCAGGCTCAAAGAAGGCTTTCAATGACTGAATTTGTTGTCTTGCACTATTTAAAAGAGCTCTCAACCTCTCATGACTGCCCTTTTGTATTACAGGTATGCTATCAATGCTCTGCAAATGAGCATTGACAATTAAAAATTGATTATTGTAAGTTTTAATTACAAGATCATATGCTACTGCATAATTTTCATTCGTGACACTTATACTAGATATTAATTCAGAAGCTGATAATGTGAGAGCACCTTTTAAATAGTGCAATTTCTGGACAGGCGCTAATTTTGAATTGTTATGTATCAGTGAATTAAAATATCAATAAAGGCCGTCCACTCACTGTACTCCCCATTAAATTTTGGTAACACAATATCTGGCAATTTCACATCTATCACGCTACTTTTTAATTTTTCGGATTTTTGATGGGAGTCAATAATTGATTCTATCTCAGCCATCATATCAAAGTATAATTCAGAGTATTTAAGGTACTCATCAGTGTACACACCTGGAGACATGCTTTCACTGCACACACCTCATCCCAGCTGTGGATACGTTCAACAAGCCTCTGCTTCCGAACAGAGACAGCCTTTACATTGTCGCCCTCCTGGAATCCAGTTACATATTTGTTGATGGCATCGAATGAAGCCTTAATCATTTTATACGTGCCTTCCAATGAATCCGCATCCGCCATTATACCAGCCAGTTATACTATACTAAATTAATATTATTACAACACGTGCTACACAAAGTACAAGAACAATAAAGAAATCTTAACACTTATTACTAAGTCAATTAATACAGGAACAAGGTTGATAAAACACTTATGTGTAATGTGTAACAATAGTGAG